GATCTTTCACGTTGAGAACACCTTTGAATAACTGTTCTGATGAGACCTATTAGGTCGAAATACGTATCAACAGATACAAAGGCGCTGTTTGCGTGAAATCAAATATTTGCTGTCTTTTTCACTTTTTTCGGATTTACTCTGTACGAGTACAAGAAACCAATTCGCTAAGGATTTCTGCTTAGTTGAAAAGATGTGTCGTGGAATGCAAATTTTAGATTCCCCACGTCTCTTTTAACACCTTTATCAACGTCTGTTTTGCTTTGCAATTTTTAGAAAGCACAGATAAAAGCAGAAATCTGAATTGTGTTTCGAAACTATTTTACGATTGTCAAAATAAAAGATTTTACAGCGCCAGTCTCGCTATTTAATAGCCACACCTCGTATATAAAGACGATGTGGATGCTAAATTTGACAAGGATGTAGCATATCGTAGCGGAATTATCTGTTGCTTTGTCTAAAAGTTGTTTTATTGTGAAGAATATTATGATACAATATTCTACAAGATGGAGAATCTTAATATATTTATGTTATAATAGCTATCGTCATTATAGTCATTTTAGATGAATTTATATGGTTCAGCATCGTTCTAAATAATCCGCAAAGAACACTTGACGACTTTCAAATCCCAAAATATCCTTTTACAAGCTACCTACATATATACTAATTATTGCATGAAGCTAACAACTGATTGCATAAAAGCTGTTTCCTTTTCTATTTTTAATCACATCATTTGATAAGCATTTCGTATATACTTATTTTGAGGTTATGTATAGGTTACAATTAGATGACACCCGGAAAAACCGTCTAAAATATACTCCTCTAGTATTTTTCCGGGTACCTTAACAATACGTATGTTAACAATATTGATATACCATAAATTATTAACTTATTTCACCCGAGGTGAAGATAAACAGTATATTTTTGTCGGGCTTTTAAGCGCATGATGGAAAATACTTTTATGGTGAGAAATTGTTACACAAACAGCTCAGAAACTTTTATAAAAATATTATTCGCAAACAGCTATTGTTTCATAAGAGACCTGTTTCTTTTGATAACTTCATTAAGAGATTATGAAAAGGTCGTATTCTCATAAAATTCTTTTAAGAAATAAGTCTGACCTAGTGCTTAACAATTTCATTAAAATATAGATTTAGTCAACATTTGATATAAATGAAATGGTGTTATAAATATAGATCTTTTCTAATTAATATTTTTATCAAAATGTTAAATTGTTACTGAATTCAAAATTTGGCAATAGATTACCAATTAGAATTTCTTTGTTCACATTGTACACACATAGATGGCAGCAATGGCAAAAATATCAGATCATCAAGAATATACATTGCGATCTAATGATACCTTCCTCTCATTAATACATTTCTGATAGTTTTAATTCTTATCAATAAAACAGTTAATGTGCTATATATAAGTAAAAGTGTTGACAACTTATGTTACAGAAGAAATTTATCTTCATATTATATCTATCTAAAGCCTTTTATTCGTCCAGTACATATGTCTCTCACTTCTGTTTCCATTTCCCTCTTTCCTGGGTTAAAGAGGTCTTCCTCTTCCCCTTTTGTATTCCCTTGGTATCCAGTGAATGATTTGTTAACGCAGAGTCAAGCTTCTGTAAACATAACGTGAGGAGCCGGTCAAACAAGGCTATATCGTGAAATAAAGGTCATGGTCATGCTTCTAGACCTAATGGTTCAAATGTATAGCTTTGATAAACATTTTACCAAACAATCTCATAACATCAAAGAAGGAAAACTGGAAAACGGGTCTGCAGTAATGACAAACCCAAGTTGGTATACATATGTCTCCAAAATCGATGAAGGTACAGGGACAGTATATATGTATAGCACAAGACCAAGAACAGAAATAAGGTTAAGCCTGGGAACATGTGCTGCCATATTTCAGGAAGGAGTTACTACTATAGAGTCCTGCTTTGGGGTTGCGAACAGACACAAAACAGCAGCCATTGATAAATGGGCGCAATAAAAGTCTTTGCAATGGTGGAGAAATGCACCGGGACAAAGACAAAGTCCACAAAGCATATGCCATTGGCATGGAATTCACAAATAAGCAACAGTTTAAGAATATACTATAGAATATTTAGTCTTTTAACATAATCTTTAAGCGGATTCATTGTTAGCTGTAATGGTTTCAATATTTTTATGCTATATGCGCTACGTGATTTGTTCTAGAAAAGATTTAAGTTGGCTCGTACATTCTTATTAGTTTTCAATTGTTGATTTTGAGAATATACTGTCTTTTACGTTTTTTCAAATATTAGAAAAAGTCACCCATCACTCTATTAAAATTTATATAAAAGGCAACAAATTTTTTTGAAAATATATAAGAAATGATCTATATTTAAATCCAATAATGATAAATACATCTATTATAATTTCCTAGTACACATCTGTAAAAATGAAATTAAAAATGTAGTAAAATACTTTCTCTGAGACCAGCTCATATAAAAAATCAGTCAAATAAAATATAAAAGTAGGTATTCGGTAAAATGTCATATATAAAAATAGACCTAACGAAATTTTTGAACACCAAACCTGAAACAAAATCTACGTCTTTCTAGGACCCTAAGGCGTATAGAAATAACACTGAGGTAGGTTTATACCAGATTTTGTTTCTTTTATGTATAGAAGAGATCGAAGCTAAAGAAAATTTTGATTGTTTTTGAGCAAATAAATAATTACGTCTAAAAATGGCACAAAATTGGGCAAAATAGATATAGTACAATAATAAAATGACTTGACTAACTTGACACGATAATGGCAGTTCTACTAGATATTAACAGTTTATATTTACTTCAAGAAATATTAAATTATCTGATCATCAACTACACTCACTCGTGATATCAAATACGTTAGGGAATATTGAAAAGTTCCAATTTCAAAAATTCCCTGACGACTCTTCTTCCTCTAAGCTAAAGGATCCTTTTATAATTTAAAAGGGAAAATTCCATTGGTTGGCTGTATTCCATAATTTTAAAAAACTTACCATAAAGTAAAAATTTCATGTGTAGAAAGTTTTTTGATCTTTTTAAATTTTTTGTTTCTTTACCATATTTTTTCGGACCATCCCTACTTGTGGAGTGCTGGGTCCATGTGCGTTTCTAGTTCAGTAATATGAGGTAGGAGGCAGGTCTGGATCTGAACATACGGAAAACCAACTTACTCGTAATAAGTAAACAACAGCATATAAAACCGTATATATATATATATATATATATATATATATATATATATATATATATATATATATATATATTATATATATATATCATATATATATATATATATATATATATATATATATATATATATATATATATATATATATATATGTAAATAATACCAAACTTGAGCAAGTTGATAAAATCGTTTACCTTGGTCAGCAATTAAATTGTAACGCAGAAAGTCACAGCGAAATTAAATCTAAAATAGAGCAGGCTAGAGCTGCTTTCTGAAGGATGTCCAGGGTATTATGTAACAGAGACCTAAAATTGGCATTGAGGATCCGCCTACTTCGCTGCTACATGTTCTCGATCTTACTTTATGTTTTGTGGAGTCCTGGACTGTGAATAAAATCGATCTAAATCGCCTTGAGGCTTTCGAAATGTGGTGCTATAGAAGAATTTTAAAAGTTTCCTGGGTGGAGAAGATTCGAAACTCCACAATACTAGAACGTCTCAGCAAGACTACTGAGATCATAAAAAGCATCAAGCAGAGAAAGCTGGAGTATTTCGGACATGTAATGAGAGGTCCCAAATATAGGTTGCTACAAAATATCATGCAAATAAAAATAGCAGGCAAACGCAGTCCAGGACGAAGAAGAACCTCATGGTTGAAGAACTTGCGAGATTGGTATGGTATTGATAAAAGCATGCTATTTAGGGCGGCAGTGAATAAAATTAAGATAGCTGTGAACTAACGTTCTGAAAGGACAAGGTACATGAAGAAGAAGAAGAATATGAGGTGAAAATATCGGATTTAGTTTTGTCATCATGACTTTGATGCAGCCATCTGCGTCTTCTGCTGGAAATGGTACCTTAATGAAAAACACTATGGATATATATACAAGTGATTGCAATTAAATTATATCTCGTCTCTTATATTAGTAAATATAAACTGTTGAAATGTAAAATATATTGGTACACACTTTCATGGAAAAATGATTCTATCTGCATAATTTTACACGTTATTCAGATTTCTACAGCTCTAAAACATGGAATGTCAGAAACAACACTTACTATTAAAAATGTGGTTTATTTTATGTTATTTTAGATTTTGTATATAGCGGAAAATTCTGGAAAGTGTCGTCTTGTTGTTTCTAACATTTAATGTTTATTTTCTGACATCAAGCTTATTGTTATCACTACTAAAATGCCTTATTTATCGAATTCTTTATCACATAAATAGTAACTTGTCAGCACAGATCACAGATTTACAGGAAAGTACTGAATCAAGAACCATAATATTAAATAAACTGTAGAAATAGCATAGAAAAAATATACTCGTTCAGTACATCTGTTGTAGATTTTCAAATAACTGAAAACTAGGCCTAGTTTTATAAAAAGCATAAATATATATGTTCAATCAAAGTCCAAATCCATCCTTAGGATTTAATTTCTTTATCACATCTAAAGAATAACCAGATATATTTAATACTGTTTTAACAAGAGATATTTGTAATCTATCTTTTCATAAGAGCATTATAGAAAAAATATATTGTGTATATATTCAGATTGTTAAATCAAGTTATTTTATATGCGGGATCTAGTATCTAAGATCATGCTTTAATGACATTAATTGTCCAAAACATTCATCAGATAATTTTGTCTATATCTTGTAGTACTTCCAGTATTAAATATATGATATCTGATTGTTTTCCTAGTTACAGCCATAAAGGCGTATCTTGAGCATAACCAACTAATCCTAAGTTTCAACTACTTTTGTAGAATATATATCTGTATAATGCTTTTAATCGTTAGGCCATTTTGTGTTCATCTTGTCTTGACATAGCATAAGAATGACTACAATAATTAAACCAAATTACTAATAAGCTCGCCATGCGCTGCTTCTGTGATCTGCGCTAGTCCGAGTACAAAAACCGAACATCACTGCAACAGGTAAGGGCCCGCTTTTGCTGAGACATGAGCACCTTTATCATGACAAACAATATGTACAAATTTCAAGTTATTCAAAGTGAATAGATCGTTATAAATACCCTTAATGTCGAGGCATACGTTCCTATGCTTTCCTTTTTTATCTAGGTCTAGGTCTACGTGGATGCGTCTAATCTCAGCGTGCGCAGCAGCAAGATGAGAAGACCGCAGAGCTGCGCACACAGCTGGGATGACTGAACGCGAGCGTTCCTTGTTGTGATCGAGATTCCAAGTCTGAAAAATGATGCGTGACTCCCGGCTGAGGTACGGATTAATGCTGTGAGTCGGAGAGTATAGACATTGCTCCTTATCCCATCTAAAAATAGATAAATAACCGAACAAGTACCAAAGATATGTACTGAAAAACATTTTTTACTATGATAATAGGTTCGATGTTGCAACTCGGAATTATCTGTATACGACTTAAATACTGCTACGATTTAAACGTGATTATGCAACTGTTATTTTATTTTACGAATTTCTATTTTATGCAGTAACTTCTTAGAAAAAGTAATATTTAATACCGCAGCACGTTACAGTTGCATAGAAATAAGTAATATTTGGCGCCCAACGTGGGGAATCATCGTATACTAAAACAATTTTTAATTGAAGGTGATTATTTGGCAACATCGCACATAAATCGACGAAATCATATCCCACTTATCAACTTTGGCGTACCAAAATAATATTTTAATTCTTTATTTAAGCACATAAGTAATCACGTAAAAAATTTAATCTAAGACCGATATAATTATTAAATTATCATCTGTGTTTTGAAAGCTCTCTTTTAGTTGTCTACCAAATAAAGTAAAATTTTATTGTTATTATAGAGTGCCTAATACAGTACTTCTAAAAACATAAAACTTTGCAAAATACTTATTTTTTTAGTAGACTAAACAATCTGAAATTTTAACATATGATCTTGTCATTCCACTTCATTCTCTATTTATAGAATTGCTGTGTGTTGTAAACGTCATATTTGTTTTTTTTTAAATTGATTTCTCAAACGTCTCAAATTGATTTGAGAGTTTTCTTGTGTTTATTTGCTTTATATTCCATATAAATTAAAATGAGGTAAGCTGAACTATTATCATGTGAATGCATATATATAGTAATGTATTTTTTGTTTATTTTAGTAAATTCTAAAAGGGCATTTATATTCCTCCTCCTAAGTGCCTTCTCTATTGAGGTTGGCGATCAATATGGCAAATTTCTCTCTGTTCTGGGCTTGATGGATTAAGTCATTTCCTGTTGTGTGAGTCCAACCTCTGATGTATCGGAGCCAGGATTTCTTCTTTCTTCCTATACCCCTTTTACCCTCGATTTTGCCTTCTAATATTACCTGGAGCTGCTCAAATTCCTTATGGCGCATTATGTGTCCTAGATGATTTATATTAGAGGGCACTAACTACTAAAGAGCTAACGGCTTTGTTAGAAGAAGACCCAGATTGTGAAAATGCTGACTCACTTGATGTAGTTCAGGTGCCGCCGGAATCAGATGAAGTTTCCGACGTAGAAGGCATTGATGATAATATTATTTGTGAAGAAGGGATAAAATCGGCTATTGCAGGTACATATGAAATACAAGTGAATGGGAATTCTGACGATTCTGATTATTATATTCGGATAATCCTTTGGACCACAGATCAAAACGTCCAAAGAAAAAATAGGCAAAAATAATAAATCCAAAATTGGCCCAAGTTGACAAGACAGTTTTGACAAGTCAAAACAGATATTCCTTCGTATTCGGTAGTAATTCAACATCAGTCTGATTAATATTTAGACAATATAAGTCACATATTGAAGTTTTTTCACTTTTTTTGATAAACAAGTAATTCAGAGCATTCTATATTTTACAAATAATTATGCAATGTAGAACAACCGTCATATTGGCAATATGACGGTTGTTGTACAATAATATACATATGCCAATATCAAAAATATTGGCATCTGTATATTATCTGGTTATCACACTGTGCTTTAAGTTGATATGTATTGGTCGAAGGATTAGGATAGAAAAGTGCACATTATAAGAGAAATCATGAGCTAACATATATTTCGTTCAACCAAACATGAAGAGAAGAGAATAGTGAAGAAAACGCTACATTAGTATCATAGTACGATACTAGTGCAAGAATGTCGGATGTGCAAAAGTAATACTATTTATTTATGTAAAAGGTGTAGAGTACATCTATACTCGAATGTTTCGAACATTTTCACCTCAAAGTTTAATTTACGTTTAAGATACAATATGTTACTTTATTAAACATTGTACTGTTTTTCCTTGAAAATGAGAAAAAAAATCTTTGTGGTTGTACATAAATGCCAATTTATGTATTTTTTAATCCAATCTAATAAATTAATTGTCAAATTTCTCTCTGTTTATTGTATCGGCCGTTAATGGGTTAATACTATAAAAAGAATAAAATAACCTCAAATTTACTGTACTTATCTCAAAACTAATAAAGTCTATTTAATAAATATATTCCCAAGAAATAGAATACACCACGCCTATGCACATATAGAATGCGGAACGAATAAACTATTTCTCTCGTTCGTTCCCATTCTTTCCAAGAACGTAAATATATAGACCAACGAAATGTTAATAAGTTTACCGATGTTTCAAACTATTTAATGAACCTATCTAACTATACGCTCATGAATTTAAGCACTTATTTACATCGGCGAAGTATACACAATAAAAATGATCTTAGTTCAATTTGTAGATGAGTCGTCTTTAATTGAAAATTGTTCTAGTATAGAATGAAGATTAAACGTGTAGACAATTTTATTGGAGATTAATATTATTTTTACATATTGTTTTGTTTTCTTTTATACTGTTAGTTACTCAGTTTCTTCGAAACTTTTTCAATTAAGTTAAATGGCATATCGTGTCACTTCTGACTTCTATTTCATGAGGACAAGTTTATTTTATGGATATCTTTTGGAATTGGAATCACAAGTTATCCAGGAAATTAATTCAAACGTTTTCAGTTTGTTGAAGTTGGTGTTGAACATTTGATAAATTCTTTTGATAACTTTATACCTTTCACGTTTATTCAACTTTTTGCATTCTAGAAGGGTGTTTCCTGAAATTCTGAATTGTAACAATAATATTGTGTAAAGATGACTTTAGAGCGAAGTTCCTCATTAGCGTGAAATAGTCATTATTTCTTTGGTTTTATGAATTGGTTCTTGATGAAAGTTGTGGCGAAATTCAAGAATACCAAGTATTGATCGGTAAACTGTACGATACTTTCAATTCTCCTTTTTGCTGCTTACTGGTTAGATTGAGTATATTTGTCCAAATTGTGATCTCCAGCACGGATAAAAGAGTAAAAGATTAAATTAGAGCAAAAAAATCTCACTTTATTAAAACAAATAAACATTCTACAAAAAGGAATAATTAGAGAATACCTTACCTGCCTTGACATTGGAACGTCCCTTGCCTGTCGCAGATGCTTTTCATGTCGTCGGAGTTTCCACTGTTCGCCCTGTTGAAATAATACCCATGATATTTATTCAATTTTAATCTGGCCTCTATTTCTAGAAACAGTTCACGTACCGCCGTTTGCGGTACGTCCTTCCTGTTTCCGATTTCGTCTTTGGTTCGGTAGTAATAGGATCTTATTCGATCTTGGGCTCTCCTAAACATATAGTCCTCTTTTGTTTTCGCGGTGGTGCTGAGGCCTGTGTGTAATGCTTGCGTGTTTACATGAAAACAATAAGCGCCGAGGTATTACCGATCAAACTGAAGAACTAGCTAACAAGTAAATGAGCTATGCAATTTTTCTATGTAAAATGGTCGAAAATAATCAAACGAATATGAAGTTTTACATATTTTTAAAGGACATATTTCATATATTTTGAAAAAAAATTGTAAAACATAAAGAGAATATAAATGAAAAATAGGAAACCTGTAAAAAATCATTCTGGAAGCTGTTAAAACACTACAACTAAACACTATAACAACAAGATATGCTCACTTGCCGTTCTAATTTTAATCGACTTTGCGCATGACGTCATAGCGAGACGAAGAGACATATTTTAAACGGTACATCATATGGCAACGTTGTTCCATTACTGTAATCAACAACTTCGAAACTTAAACTGTTAACGGTAAGTATACCTCGATGCCATATCTTGCACTAAGAAGTCATAACTAGTTCTGTGAAAATGTGTTTTGAAAATTAATAAGTAATTTGTAAAATCAATTAAAGAAATATATAAATCTACGATTTGATTGTGTGTATTACAAACAAAATAAATATTGCTACAAAACATAAATTCAATATAAAAGGCCGGCAAAATGTAAAGAATTTGACCATGAAGGAAAAGCGGGTCATACTTGAGACTTTATGAATATCATTTGGACATTAATTTTACAAACTTTGTGATTTTTCTTTTGCAGATATTGTAATTATCTTTAATATTTTGATTTAGAATTACATTTAGAATACATTTTACACCCAAAAAAAAAGTAATTTTACATCTTCGCTAACATTTACATTTTGCAGATTCTATTAAGTTTTTTAAATAATTTTTTGTTATTTTTAATATGTCGCCATTATAACTACGACAAATATGTTCCAGTCCATATCATCCAGTCCAAACATAATTAACATGAAGACTTATGAGCATTTAACTTGCCGTCATTAAAGTTGTCTCCGGCTTACGTCACAAGAACATGCGCGTTGACTTATCTTGTTTTGTTATAGTATCACACATAGATATAGAAGACGGCGGAGAAAAAACTATAGATGGCTAAAGAGTGATGAGAAGATAATACATACAAGAATAAAGGGAGCATTCATGAAAAAAGAACTTCGAGAGCTTGAAGAAAGTAAGTCATGCCTCTATAATTATAACGCACCATCATGTCTTCATTTTTATGAAATGGGCACAATATACCCGATTTCCAGTCTGTGAGTATTTCTTTCTGTTCACATATTTCAGCTATTAATTTATGCATATAATTAGGATATTTATGATAGAAAGCATCATCATCATCATCATCTTGGTGCTACAGCCCTTAGAGGGCCTCGACCTTCTCAAGCTTTCTACGCCATTCTGTTCTGTCCCTTGCTTGAATTTTCCAGTTGCCGACTCCGATCTTCTCCGCATCTTGTGTTACCCCATCCATCCACCTCAGCTTTGGTCTACCTCGTCGTCTCATTCCCACAGGTTGCGCTGTTAGAATCTTTTTTATCATGTTCGATTCAGGGGCCCGGGCTACATGTCCTGCCCACTGCAGGCGGTTTCGCTTAATTATAGTGGTAATATCTTTACCACCAAACGTATGCTTGTAGATGTTCTGCAGTTCGAAGTTATATCTACGCCTCCATATTCCGTTCTCACAGACCGCTCCAAATATCTTGCGTAGCACCTTTCTTTCAAAAATGGATAGAGCGGATTCATCTGTTTTCGTTAGCGTCCATGCCTCTGATCCGTATGTGAGAACGGGGACTATCAGTGTTCTATACAGCCTTATACGAGTTTTTTGAGACAGACGTTTGTTAGCTAAGTACTTTGATAGACCATAATAACACCTGTTTGCAATTATTATTCGCTGATAGAAAGCATGAAGGAATTAAATAGGAGGCTACATCTCATCATGATTGCCATTAAGACCAATAACAACAAGGTTTATGGCGCATGCGTTACAACTTTGTGTTGTGTCTAAGTTTTGGGGAACCTGACGTACAATTCATTAAAGGTAGCTCTTCTTGGAAGGATAGAGCATGCAATCAGGCGAGATGCAGGCGAAACAGTCAGAAAAAATTTTGAGTGAAGAGGGCCAATGAAACCAGAGGACGACTGTTTTTTAGGTATCAAGACAATCTAGAGAATGATTTAAAATCTATTGGGAATTAGAGCATGGAGAAGAGAAGAGGATTGATGATGGTTCACAATACTGAGTTCAATGAACAAAATTTCACGACCTTAAAATTTAAAATAAAGATAAAAACAACCTAGCTATTTACTTCTGGTACTTCTTCAATTAGTAAAGAATAGAAAAAGCATCTAGAAATAGTAACTAAAAAAAAAATAACGAAGAAGTGAGTACCTAAAACTACATAAATGAAAAAATCCCTGAGTACCATAAAATGTTTTAAGATTATAAAATACTGTAGTATCACAGTATAAGATGGAACCTCTTTATACTGTGGTAGTATTCTAGAGGCAATATGAAAGTAACATGATCTTGAAACCGTATTGTAATACAAAATCAAATGAAATATGTCCTTCGTACTTAACTAATTCTTTTATGATTGGTAATAACTCGGCTAGAGATATCCTATGAATAAATAGTATATTTCATAGTTTTAATGATTAAAATTCAATAACCAAGTTTAAAATTAGACATTAACATAATATGAGTAGAATTTACAGATCTACTACGTATTGTACGTTTCTATAAGAAATTTATTCAACATCAAAATGGTTCCTCTGCCAATTCTCTACAGAGTGGATCAGCAAAATGAAATACATTCGGTAATAAATTGCGACATATTAAAAAAACGCTTGAACACGTCCATTGGTATTTTTAGTTGCTCATTTTTTGCAATAAAAAATTTAATGAAGAATAGAATAATATACAACACCCTGTATATTATTCTATTAAAATAATATATAGTTGAATGCTCAAATATATGAATTTTTCAAATCAAATCGAGCACAGTTTTTTTATTAAATATTGCCAAGTACTTAAGGCATCTTCAGGAGCATCTGAAATAAGCCAGTTTTTCAAGTAAGATAAAAGTAGCAAAACTTCGAAAAAACTCAAAATTGGTGGTTGATAAAAAATTTATATAACATTTTAGACTTATTTCGTCAAAAATTGTTGACTATCCAGCACATCAACGAATGTTATAAACATTTAACACATTGGACGCAAGCCTCATTTTACGCTTTTGTTACCAGATACAAGATGGGTACAAGTGTTGACAATATTTAAATATATAACCTGGAGATTTAATATATAATATTTAATATAACCTGGAGATTAATATCTTTGACAATCTTTCTCTGAATCAAAACTCTTTTCAAAAAGTTTTATATTGGTTCAGATATGTGGATGATTTGTTAGCTATCATAGATGGAAATTCCTCAGATGCAGACAATATCCTAGTTTCACTTAACAACTTACATCCAGCTATAAAATTCACCTTAGAAACAGAATCCAACAATTCTATTAATTTTCTAGACTTAACATTAACTAGAATAGATAACAAATTAAATTTTTCAGTCTTTAGAAAACCAACTCAGACTGACCATACCATCCCTAGATCTTCTATTCATCCTTTTCAACAGAAAATGGCCTCCTTTTATTGGTATATCCATCGTTTACTTAGCTTACCTCTGTCAGATTCAAATTTTAAATCAGAATTAGAAATTATTAAACAACTTGCTTATAGTAACGGTTATACCCCTACTTTGGTTGATAATATACTCAACAAATTAAGGAATAAAAAGAATAGATCACTAGCATACAACACTGTCCATAACATTTCTAACTCGGCAGTTATTTATCGATCAATATCGTACATAGGTTATCCCTCGGATAATATAGCCAGAATCTTAAAAAACATCCCTAATCTAAAACTTTCTTTCAAAGTTAAAGAAAATATCAAATCTATTTTTCCCACACTAAAGACAAATCGGTGACCTATGTGGGTAGAACAATGCGACCTTTGGATATACGCATTAAAGAACATCTGTCTAAGATTGATAAATCTAGTTTTGGGAATCATATACATGCTTCAAAGCATTGCTTTAGTCCTCATAGAGATAGCAAGATCCCTACACAGTATACGCAATAATAATTATATAAAAATGAATTTACTAGAAGATCTTGAAATCAGTAGAGAAATGAAAAGGAATCCTCAGAACTGTGTCAACACTCAAATTAACTTAAATTGTAAGTTTGATCCAATCTTTAAGAAGTTTCTTTAATAATACATTTAGTATAAAATTAACCATCATTTGATCAAGCTTTGACCTTTATTTTAAAAGAGATTTTAAAAGAGATAATTTCTTAATTTTCTTTCATTGATTTATCTAAGTAGAGAATGTTTGATATTTTTCTTCTTCATTATTTATTTTATTAATAATATTGATAATCAATAATAGCTATTGAACTCTTAACTTAGCAAATGATACTTCTCCTTGGTTGGTTTTCATCTACTTTCTTCTACTTGGTCAAACTTTAAAGTTTTGTTTTTTGATAATATTGATAAATGTATATTTTAAATCTTCACGTTAACTTAACAATTAAAAATATTTAAATTTAAAATTCTATAGTAACTAAAAAGTAATAATCAATAACCTTCAGACGTCAGTTTAGACATTTTCAATTTTCAATTAATAATTTTAAATACAGAGGTCGCTCTCGGATTTATTTCCGTATATCCGAGCTTCCTTTTTCATTTTACTTCAAAAATGTAAGTCAAAAACAGCTGTTGTCGTTGCTGTATGTGGTAACCATGTTTTATAAAAAATTTTTGATGTGAATTATACATATGAACCCCCTCTGTGGCTCAGTGGTAAGAGCGCCTGCCTTTAAATCTAAAGGTCGTGAGTTCGAATCCCACCTGGGTGGAAATTTTCGTTTATTAAAAAAAAATTAATAAATGAAAATAATTTCTATCCTTGTGTGATCGGTACACACCGGAGGGACCGCAGACGTTCGGATACAATTAGCGTCTCTTAGCAAAGACAATGACGTCGACTTTGCTAAGTATCAAGACAATTACTCTACACACACACACACACACACACACACACACACACACACACACACACACACACACTACACCTCAAATTGTAAGATTGGCATTGGAAATGGATTTAGTGTCCGCAGTCATTTAAACACAAACAAACAACAACAACAATTATTACATATGTATAAGGGTTTTAGACCTAAGATCTGTGGCCTACAGAGCCCGATCTTGGTTTTTTAATATGTCGTTTGTCCACAATTTTCCTTCTATGAAGTATTTATTGCCTAATTGACGTAAGTTTTTTCTGTCATTGTATTTTATATAAAAAATTTACTTAACGTTATTTTAGGATAGCTCTGATGATGACATTTATTATGTCGAAAGTATACTCAGCTTAATTAATAAATTATTTTACACACTATCATTTTTTTTGAAAACATACAAAACCTGCTTACCAGTTAGAAATATTTAATCTGCCTATGTTCCATTTTTTTTTCATTAAAAATATCATCTACTTGCCTTCAGAGATCATAATTATTTTTGTTTTATAAATATATCTGCTTTTGTTTTTGAGTTATTCCTAATTTTCCTGTGATCTCCATGAGGGTCACGCGGTACCACAACTTAAATTTGAATTGATGTACCGCGTGACCCTCATGGAGATCACAGATATTTTCAGCTGAAATGAGTATGTAGTGTCGCTTTTGGTGTCATTCTGTTTCTTTTGTTTCAGGGAGTGATCACAGGAAACAATTCGTCAATCTAAACAAAACTATAACCATTTAAAGATATCTAATATCTAAACAGGATTCCGTAAAATGTCTAGAAAATCTAACAGATCAAAACCGTTGACACAGGAGGAACTCGAGAGGTTAATTGCGGAAAGTGATGATAGTCTTGAACCTATAGACGATTCAGATGAAGATCCGGATTTTGGCATTCAACATGATAATGAAAGTAATGACTCTAGTGGAGGAGATACAAGTAACGATGAAGATATTGGTTCAAAATCAAAAATAAGAAGACTTGAAGATCTTGTGCAGGAACCACGTCCTTCACAAATTGGACAGTTCGAACAGAAACCAGGTCCTTCAAGAGTTGACCAGTTTACAAAGAAACAAGCTTGTTCCCGAGTTGAACAGCCCAGAATTTGCACAAGATGAAGAACTATCAGCAGAACCAGTTCTTCATGAAGAAGAAGTCTTGACTTTCACCTGGGGGCCTGTTGAGAATGATCCACCACACTTTGAATTCACTTCTGGGGAAAATGTTGGATTCAAAAATGATATCTTGTTGGAACTTCCAAGGTCGGCACCCAGCTGCATACTTTCTACACTTCATACCTCTAGACTAAATGCATGGAAAAACACAACTGGACTTCTGATATGGATGGGACTTTGTAAGTACAGTAAAATCAATTGGTACTGGTCAACAAACCGACTTTTTCAGAATCAAGTTTGCAAGGTTATGTCGCGAAATATATTCGAAATTTTGATGAGAATGCTACATTTCGCGGATGACAACGACAGGCAGCCCAATGATCGTTTACATAAAATCTCATCTATTCTCAGTATCATAAAAAATTCCTTTCAAAACGCGTATGTCCCTGGGAAACATGTCTGCATTAATGTGAGTAATATATTGTGAAGAGGCCGGCTTCATTTTCGCCAGTATATCCCAAATAAACGACATCGCTATGGGATCAAAGTGTCTAAACTTTGTGCGGCTGGTGGATACACATACGGTTATAAAGTCTACAATTGGAGAGATCTAGAAAGGACATGAAACGTATCTGATAGTGTTGTTTTTGATTTGATGGCCATTTTGCTTGATTCTGGAAGGTATTGGACAACTGATAAGTGGTATACCAGTGCCAATCTGGCAGCCAGACTGCTCATGAGAAATACTCATCTTACGGGAACATTGCGGTCTAACCAAAAGGGCAATCCTGCTGCAGTGGTGGGTTCTAGACTAAATAAAGGCGAGATCAAAGCTCAGCAGTCAAACCATGGAGTAACCGTTTGTAAATGGAAAGATAAGAGGGATATGTTAGTGCTCAGCACATGTCACACAGATTCAATGGTTGAAGTCACGCGACGACACGGAGCTGCAATTATGAAACCGGAAATCGTGGTAAGCTACAATAAATCAAAAGCGTTTATCGATCTCTCTGACCAGATGAATGCCTACTTTTCGGACTTCTCCGAACTCTCAAATGGTACCGCCGTCTCATTCTGGATTGCATACTAGGCACTACCATGGTAAATGCATTTGTTATGTACAATGCAAACCATCCAAATAATAAGCTTAGTGTGACGGACTTCAGGCATAAGGTTGCTGAAGAACTTCTCTATCCTACCGAAGAAGCACCCCTGGCACCAGTCCCACCACCTGTCAGAGAACACAGATTGCAAGCTGTTGAGGGAGTTTATCAGAAAGTAAAGAGGAGGTGCACTGGTTGCTATAAAAGTCTTAAGCGTGAACGAGATCGTAAATATGCTGCAGCTCACACCAAAAAAGTCGTCACCAAATGTCCACCTTGTGACAAATTCTTCTGCCTTTCTTGTTTCAATGAAAAACATCCTTAAATTGGGGAAAATGCATAAGTTGAATGTGCTAAGACGTGTTTAGTTTTATTATAAGCATTGTATTGCTAGGTTTGTTGATGTGAGTGTGAATGTAAAAGTTTGCTACTTTTCTCTCACTTGAAAACTTAAAAAACGTTTAAATGGATTATCTTTATTAATAGGATGTCTCTGAATTGTTTAGATGTATCTTTACAAGCTGTTTGTTAAAATAAAATGTGTGATGAGAAAAGTGAAACAGTTTTTATAAATTTACTGGAAACATCTTTATTAATGTCGAAGAAATACGCCAAAGCACATAAATATTTCAGAAATAACATAATATAATTAACGTATACGTATGTTAATCTACTGGCGGACATTCATTGAACCGCTTTTTAATTTTATAATTATATATTTTATAAATAATTTAAAAAATCTTTATAAAGATATGTGGTAGGTTATTATGTACAAAAATGGAGATTTTTACTTAAGGAGGTAAGTTCACACCGAAGTTAAAATGAGTGGCATGCAAATAAACCAACATTTAACAATTCTTTGAGTAGACAAATTTTTAATTAAATTCCGTTCACGGAGGGACTCATTTTAGATAAGTTCGGTTATAATACAGTGGCAAAATGGTGGGTATAAGGAGGAAGAGGCTCTAACAAAGTCGATTTTAGATTGATTGGAAACCAGTTTTAGTCGGATCGGTTCGTGGGCGAATCTCCGTGCTTTTACGCTGTCGAGATCACAAAACAGTTGCGAAAGCAATCGGTCTCAGACCTTAGTTTTAAAACATTTGCACCGGAGGGACTCATTTTAGATCAGTTTATTTATAATACAGTGGCAAAATGGTGGCTATAAGGAGGAAGAAGTTCGAACAAAGTCGATTTTATACTGATTGGAAACCAGTTTTAGTCGGATAGTGAGCACAAAGAGAACAATATTTTTCTGACTCATTATTTACTACTTTCATCTTTGGTGTATTTCTAAGATTTTACAAAAAAATGTCATAGCTTACCCTCGAAACCATTCGGGATGTTCAGATCTGCTACTCAACTTGGCCTTATCTGCATCGAGGCCCTTCAAAACCTCAGCCAGTTTCAACACTTTACTTTTCATTTTCTCGGTGAAAAATTCTTGCACCTTCTCCCCAGCTGTTAAGTACTCATCGTTAACTTCCCTTATGGTCTTGTATAAAATCTCGGCGTCGGTGGCCGCCTTTTCACCAGCCTTTACCCATATTAGCAACGTCTGAGGAGGAAGGGTCTATAAAAAAATAAAATCATTGAGAATAAAAAAATGAAAAAGCTGTTGGCGAGTGGAATATAATCGATAACGAGTATTTACCTGAAAATATTCTTCATTTTCTATGATAGTGCCATCGGTAGTTTGGAAATCTATCTCTCCAGGTGAGAATTTAAGTTTAAACTTGTCTATGGTTTTTTTCTTCAATTCTTCCAAATTTTTGACGGCAATTCCAACTCTTGTCTTTCGATCAGCATCTGTGACCTTAAAGCCCTTCGTGGTTGTCATTACTTGCTGTAAAAAATAGAAATAAAAAATATTACAAGTGTTTACAAATTTTAAGTTCGTTGAATAGTCACTAAACGCATTAAAATTATTTAAAATCTTAGAACTCCAAATTAATTTTATTTGTACCACGACCTTTTTGGCTCCTATTTACGACCTCTTTTGCTACTTGTATGACTAATATAGTCCAATAAACAAAAAATAAAATGTAAAATTTTAGAACGAATCCTTGAAAAAATTGTTTTGGTATGAAAATATGGATTTATGTAAAAAGTATCAGTTTAAAATAACCGCGTCATTGTTTAAACATTGATTTTATATCAAAAATCAACGAAAATCACTATTTTTAATTTTTTTCAATACTTTTTCCTAATTGGAAGTTTTCAATTTTGTTTTTTTTTTGAAAGGTTATGAAAAAACGATTCATTTCAGACGTTCTAAATTAAATTTGGTTAAAAATTTATTTAAACAATTGCGAAAAATAGCAAAAACTTGTAGGAGCAAAAAACATAAAATAAAGCATAATTTTGCAGTTTACGCTATTTATTTTCAATCTGCGTTAATGTTGTTTGCCATAAGAAATGAGACCTTTACTTGCAAGACAACTAATCTCCACTTGTTGTACAATCTGACTTGAATACGCTACTGAATTCCTCGTAAAATGACGCATTCAGCTATGCATAACTTTCGTAACATAACTACCAAACTACAATTGAAATTAAATGGAGAAAATTGGTTGTTGTTTCAAAACGACCATTCTCCAATAACGTGTAGGTTTCAAAACAACCAATATCCCTCTGCACCAATATAGAGCGCTAGATTGTATCACGTGGTCGGTGATTTCTAAGATGGCGGTCATACTAGTGTCAAAGCTGAGAAAAGGAACATTATTCTCTAAAGTTTTTGCAATTTAGTAATAAATGGAGAGAACACCAAAAGTATTATGCCTACAAAGTGTAGAAAAATAGTCGCACAGCCAGAGAAATTGGCGAGAAATGTGAGAAAACGGCTGAGGTTAGTATATTTTTAGATCCATGTAGAAGAAAAAATGTCATTTGTCGTGAGTGCAACATGCTTGGCACTTGTGTTAAAATGCAGGAAACATGTATATTTTCATTGTTTTTTATATTCAAAAAATGATTAACATATAATTACTATGTACATAAAATATAATGCGAATTTAATTTATTTGTAAATGCCTAAAATGCCAACATCCAAGCACGGCAGGAGATCCTACCAGTGCACAAAATTCAATATTGCAGATGTGATGGCATTTTATAAAGGTTTTCATAAAAATGAAGAGAAAATGAAATAAGACACCTTTATACTGCAATTCCTAGAGTTAAACCCTGTTCGCTGACGTCGCCCAAAAACTGGAGTCAATCGTAATAAGACGACTACATGCAAGTGTTTCATAAAAGGCCCAGATGGCAAGTTACCCATTTGCCAAAAGACTTTCACTAATGCCTTGAGGATCGCAAGGGGGCGACTCCGAACTACCATGTGAGAAAATGGAAGGAGACAAACGAACACATTTATATAAAGAGAAATTGAGGAGTGTGGTCGAATTTATTAAAATTATAAAATGCGTGGAGTCTCATTACTGTAGGGGTCGAAATGAGCGCAAGTACGCATAAGGTGATCTGAGTATTAATAAACTTTTACTTTTAAATTTTACAATGCTCAAGCCAGGTAAAAAAAGGATATTTTCGAATGATTTTTATTAGAAAATTCAACATTTCATTTAAGGCGCCACACACGGACATGTATTTGACATGTTTTTCACTCACTGAAAAAATCTCAAAGGAAACGACACCATTGGTGAAGCAATCCCTCATGACCGCTAAAATAATTCACAAGCAGGGATCGAAAGCCTTTTTGCATTGGTGAAGGAATCTAAGCTTGAATTATTGACTTTATCCTTCGACTTGCAAAAGAACCTTCCGCTGTCTAAAGTCCCGGATCAAGCAGCGTACTACAGCAAACAGCTATATGTACATAACTTGACAATCGTAGTGGGACATTTTAAGCCCCATTAACAAAGGAAAATTGTTTTAGCTATGTATGGTCAGAGGATGAGTATGGCAAGGGCTCTAATCAAGTAGCTTCGGCAATGTATCACACGTTGTCTAATACTGATATAAAAGAATCAGGTTGTAAGATTAATGTGTGACGGATGTGAAGGCCAAAATAAGAACCAAATAATTTTATCCATGGGAAGTCGCTGGCTGATACAATCTCCAAAAAACATAAAATATATTGAAATAGCGTATCCCATTCGAGAGTATTTATTCTTGTCGTCGGACAGGTTGTTTGGGACGATCGAGAAAAACTAAGGACTATTTTAAAATAATATCTGAAAGCACAACTTTGCAGCGCCCCAATATGAATTTCAAGTTCTACGATTGAAAAACCGAAGCATTGTCTACATTTAAAGCACTGCAGAGTTGGCACTTACAGATATAGAAAATAAAAAGGATTTGTTTGGCAAGATTAAGAAAACAAAATAACGTCGTATTGGTTAAAGGGGACGAAAGTTACAACTCAAGCATCGGTTTGTTCAGAAGTATTTTAAAAAAGGAAGATCGACCATTAACATCAATCCAAATGATAGATATAGGAGTCGGGAACTTGGCCAACATTAGCAGAGAGAAACTGAAGGACGTAAACTGGAAAGTCACTACGGCGAAGAATGACAAATTGATCCGAAACTGGCTTATTTCAAAAACGTCCTACATTAGGAAAATGTTCCAAGGGTCCCTGAAGGATACGACGTTTATTGGGAACCACTCGATAATGACAAAGACGAAGAAGTCTTAAGAGTACCTATAGAATTAGTATAGTCAGAAGAGTATAGAAATAACCAATCTCCTAGTCTGTTCATTTCAAAATAGCCAATATCCACTTGTTAGTTGCAAAATAGCCAATCTCCAAATATTTTTCTTTTATTCTCTCTCTTCAATCCTGAACCCCCAGGGGGAGTGGAGTGGTCGACGTGATGTCGTGTATTGTCCGTCTCCAGAGATCTCTGTCTCTGGTCATTTCTTTTAATTCATGCATAGGTCTTTGGCATATTCCTGTAATTTGATCTATCCATCTTGTTGGGGATCTTCCTCGTGATCTTCGGCCTTCTACCTTTCCTTGTATTATGAGTCTTTCCATGTTTTCTGTGTTTGTTCTCATAACATGCCCAAAATATTTTAATTGTTGGAGATTGGACTTTACTAGAGAGTCGTTGGCTAACTTTGAGCTCTCTTAAAATTGAATTATTTGTTCTGCGGTCGGTCCAAGGAATTCGTAACATTCGTCTCCAACAGAACATTTCAGTGGCGTCTATCTTTCTTCTCTCCGATTGTCTCAGAGTCCAAGATTCACATCCGTAGGTCAGTATTGGGAATATTAAGCAGTTGATCAACCTCATCTTTATCGCTCTTGAAATTTGACAGTCCTTCCATATTTTGGTCATTTTTGCTGTGGCAACTTTTGCTAGATCAGATCTACGTTTAATCTCTTCTTGTAATGACCCTGTGTTTGTGATTAATGATCCCAGATATAAGTATGAGCTCACAACCTCGAACCGGGTCAATTGTGGTTATGTGTGAATGATTTGTTGTGTAGTCTATCCACTATCATGATCTTTGTCTTTGATATGTTTAATTGCAGACCAAATTCTTTAATTCTTTAATTATAAGAGTATTTTAATAACAACCAAGAAACTAGCAACTAAAAACTAATTTTGAACGATCAAAGTTTATGGATAATGAATTTTGTGGCTCCAGGTTTTACAAATATATTCACGGTCAAATATGTATTCCCCACTATATATTTATAAAATCCATTATTAAAGTACTTTCCAAGTTGTAGTTGACTTCATAATACTTATTGTTTGTAGATGTTTTTTTCATTTCCTCTAAAATTTTAAAAAGTGGAGAATATGATTTTTGCATCTATACCCTTCAATCCAACCATATCATGGTAAAGGGTAAAGCTTATTTACCTACGTCAGCAAAATATGACGTCAAATGCTTTTCATTCGCGCTATTATATATAGCGTATAACGTGCTGAACGTTGTGTACATAAGACTGTGGTCGTGAAATGATATATGAAAGGTCACTAGCACGACCTCGGCAATGCCCGCAAGTCATAATCGCAGATTCGACAAACAACCCGGAGAAAATCGATACCCGTTGAACTGAACGTTTAATTTCGCTGTTTAAAGAAACTTTGAAAACGACTTTTATTCTACAGAACAAACTTTACTACGCTAAATAAATATTAAAAAGCACTTCTAAACTCCAATATCTACCGTAATACGCCTTTCTAACTGTAGGAATAAACTTTTATCGAAAATTTAAGCATAACTACTACAAAAAAAGTAGAACGACTTTTTTGGAACGGAAGAACTTAAAGAAGTATAATATATCAATTAGACACGGCCAAAAGCTCGGGTTCGTTCAGAAAAATATTCACATGAGGTTTTATTGCATAAATAACTTTCTTGAGATACCCCAAAATAAGATTAAAAAGGTTCATTGCGTAAGGCGCGGATCCGCGTCCTGGCTGTTAATTCCTCGGTGCTAACGGCGCGGATCCGCGCTTTAAGCATAACTTCTATTTATAGTATATTTTAATAGCACGAGAGTTGTGCGTTTATTTGCTATATCAGCATCTAAGAGTAGTATCAGGTAACGGAAGTTACGTCACAGTTGTCACTTTTGTTGTTTCCTTTTATTCTGACATGTGTGTTTGACTATGACTATTGCAATGATGAAGAACGCAGAGATAGGTTGTTCTCAGCCAAAACGTAAAAAATATCCGTAAAATACCCTAAAAAGTTAACAGAAGAACTTGCATACTTTTTTAACACATTATTAAAAGCAGATACAAATGCATCGCCTTATAATATAGAGGAGAAGGTGGTAATATGGCCCTGCATATTTTATGGCCCCCTCCGTATTTTAATAACAAAGTGCTGAAATCTAGTGGAGAACGCTGGAACTAGTTCACT